CTTCAAAAACTGACATATGCTCTAAACCCTTTACCTTGTATGGGTAAATATGTCAGATCGATTATTATTTTTGGTGATCTCCCCCTCCAGATTTCTTATACGGTGAGTGCGTGTGTGTATGTGTGGGTGTAAGGTATACATGTAACTAGTCAAGATAAATTTATTTATTTATTTCTTCTGTGAATATTTCAAACAAATGAACACATTACAATGTATTATTTGACAATTGAAATCCTAAGTTAACACATTTATTATACAATACAAATGAAAATTCATCGAATACAAATAAGAAATTTTACAATACAAATCAGAACTTTTTTAGATATAATGTAGATGAAAAATATATAATGAAAACAACAAAAGACCCATGGACCCCATCGCTCACCTGAGCACACAGGGAATGTAAAAACACAAATCAGCTCAGTATTGAAAGTTACTTGGGGAAATTGATTTTCTACTACTTGAGAATGCCGTATATCATTAATACATAACTGTATATCCATGTCAATCTGGAAAAGACGATTTTTAAAGATAGATTTTTCGAACACATTATTTAATAAAAAAAAATGAAATACCCTCCCTACCAATTCACCCAAACATCCTTTGAATAAGTTTAAATCTTCACTAATGTAGATGCTAACGTGCCAATTTGACTCAACATGACTTTTCTGTTTTGAAAGATATATTTTCCTTTGTCTTCTTATGTAAAATTTTGATCCATCATTGTGGCCAAACTCTTACACCGGGGAGGCCTTGATATGAACAGACCAAATCAAACCACATGAGGATAATTCAACAAGTTTCATATTTACAAGAAGTGTTTGGGAAACCCTGTTCACCCGGCGGCAATAAACTTCCAAAAAGCCTTTTGAAAAGATATAGGTAGAAGGATATGGAAATAACGAACAGTATTCAATCTCAACGTCCATTAAACAAATATACAAAATAAGAGCAGAGCAAACACGGACCTCCGAAACATCAGAGGTGGGATCAGGTGCCATGGAGGAGTGAGCATCCCCTGCCGACCGGTCACACCCGCCGTGTGCTCGTTGTCATAATCAGGAAAAAACGGAAAAAATCCGTGGTAAATTCAGTGTTTAAATAATGGACTAATAATTAGTATGAAAAACGTCAGTCAGCATTTGACTCAATGATAATATTTTTTGCTGACAAGGTCATTGTATTGACCATAGAATTTACGAAATGATGATTTAAAACGAGACTGTTAATATTCTTGCTTCACCAACTTGCTTGTCAATAATTTACCTCGTTTAGGAAATTGTTCATACGTAGAGCATGCTCTTGCGTATCGAATCAACTGAGATATAAATACTCCGTATCCAGGTGATGAAGGTATATTGCTGAATAAGTAAGGGAAGTTGACGATAGAAAAGTTAAAGTCATCACGTTTATCATATAGCTTGGTTGTTAGATTACCATTAGTGTCTTTTTCAAGTAAAATATCCAAGTATGAAGCAGAAGTGTCGGACTCTGTAGTATCTTTTATCTCGAGCTCACCAGGATATATCGTGTCGACGTAGGAAATGAAATTATCATTATTAATTGACAATACGTCGTCGATATATCTACATGTCGAGTTGAGGGCCACAGCAAGTGTTTTATTCTTTTCACGTAAAAGATTTTGCATAAATTCAGCTTCATATGATATAAAAATAAGTCTGCTAATAACTAAGTCTGCTAAGTCAAGTCCACAATGTCATTGACGTTGGTATTATTTGAAAGTACCTAATTCATGGAGTATGCATACCAAATATTACGTCTCTTATTGTTCAGAAGTTATTGCGAATGTTCAAAAAAGATGTTTTAGCATATTTGTCATAGTCGAAATAATGCATTGTTACAACGCTCTTTGAAAAATTTCAAAGTACGTTTGAATTTGGGACCAAGCTAACATACATTGAATTTTTTTTTCAAAGTGCGTTAATATCGACCATATTAACGCACTTTGAAAAAAATGTAAAGATTGATCAATATTCCTTCGCATAATCGGTATGATAAATAACAGATCCTAGTTGGTTTTATAACTTTTTTATGATAAAGTCACTGTAGGACCTGAGATATTGACGTTTTAAATATTAAAGGTTTTGATAAAAAACATAAAAAAAATTAAAGGGTCTTGAAAAAAAAAGAGTGACGATTGTTTATGTTCATTAATTCGTTTCTTCTTTTTATTTTTTAAATTGAAGTCTTTCATAACTAGTTGTAAAGGTGTATGGGGGCACTAACAGAGGGCAGCTTTAAGCAACTTAGCATTCATCATAATTAAAAGGGACCAATTTGATTGTTCAAAACTATGGAAATTCTTTCTTTCCCACGCGTTTTACTGTATATAAAACTTTCTAGCTTTAATTTGTTTTAATTAACTCATTTATTATTGGAAGTTTTCAAGGTCATACCAGTTAAGTAAATACATAATTATATGAATGCTTTGAATATAGCATAGGCATCGAGACTGGGCGAAGGGCCAGGGGAGGGGAAGGAAGGGGAGGCTAAGTCCCCAACCTATTTTGGAAAGATATATAGATTGTATAAGCATTGAAAATTCAGCGTACCCTTTTTAGATTTATTGCTCCCCTCCCCCGTTTATTACAGACACTTATGTATTGGAAAGATAAAGATTTGGATTGAGGGATCTTATACCCGTCTTCTCCTCTTTTCGACGGGAGTAAATCAATTCATTTATGAGGTTAGGGTTAGGCTTAGTTTTTTGAAAAATAAATAACAAAATAAAATTCATTACTAAAATATGATTTTTTTTAAAAGTGCGTTAAGTGTCTCCATGATAAAATATATTGATGTAGGCTCTTAACACACTTTGCCAATTTTTTTTTAAAGTGCGTTAAGAAGGTCCCAAATTTAACGCACTTTGAAAAAAATTTTCAAAGTGCGTTGATTTTGTCCCAATTTTAACGCACTTAGAAATTTTTTTTCAAGGTGCGTAATTTTTTCAAAGTGCGTTGCCACAATGCATTTTTACCATTTATACATGTAACCTATATAACCCCTTCCTAACACTTAACCCCCGATCCTGGGGCCATAAATTTTACAGTGATTTTACAAATATTAACAATGGTCAATAAATTGTATTCATGGTTAATAATGCATTATGTACGTATCATGTCGGAATTTTAAGCCAAGTGTTAAGGAACATGATGTACCATTAAAATGAAAATTCACTTTAAATAATACTGCATCTATAGAGAAATGTCACCCTCACTCTAATTATTTCATAAAGACTTTCTCATGGATACCACATACCCCTAAATAAGAGATTGACCCATTTGCATCACCTCCTACATGTGTACAGGTAATGCGCGGATCTTTCTAAACCGTTGAAATTTGTTTGGAACGGCTTTCCTTCCTTTTCCAATGGTCATTATGCCCATGTTTTGTGTTTTCTTATTTAAACCGATTGTTAAAAAAATGACATTGGTTACAAAAAGATGCTGATTACACAAACACGTGCAGTAAAGTACCCATTTACTGTTTTTTAAGCTTCATAAAGGGACGTTGGTTTTCATTCGTGATAATTGACTTTTTTTTAACACTCATTGGGTATAATAATTTGAAAATATCATGCCATTCTTTCATGAAGTTTTTGAATAAATAGTAAATACATTTATTTTTTAACAAACCAAGATCAACACTACCTGAGGATACTTCCTCATGAATTCATCATTTTTTTTTTAAAGTTGCCATTAATTTTCACTAACTCATAATTATCTCCCCTTGCAAAAGGATATGACCCTTCATTTGGAGGAAATTTAAATTCCCGTCACCAAAGAATACTTTGTGGCAAGTTAAAATTTGCTCAGTAGCTCTTGAGAAAAAGATGAAGTGTGAAAAATTTATGAGACTACGACAAAAACGACTATGAAAGACAAAAGACCATTTTTAATCAGAGCAGCTCACTTAAGCTTTTGGCTCAGGTAAAAATCAAATGGTTAGTTATAAAAACAAATTAAAATTCATACAGTATAAATCGTAGATTGTAAAATACAAATAAAAAAAACAATGCAAATACACTGTACAAAAATATACATTACAAATCAAAATTGAAATTTAAATGAAATTCATACGATAAGTTACAAGAGGGCCATGAGCCTTATAGGTCACCTGAGCATCATGCGACAAAGTTAAACTTCCAACAATTTAATTTGGTTCATGTTTTAAACTAGAATCTATGATACTACAATTTTGAAAGAGGTGTCATTGCTCATAATAACTAAAGAATAATCATAATTAGTTTGGTTAATAATACCCATAGACAGAGTGGGGTACAAAAAATGCAATTAAACTAATCAGAGTAATATTCAGCAGAATAAGTAGACCCCCCCCCCCCCCGAAAAAAACCTTGACCCTTGGTCCACACATTTTACAATTTAAAAAAAGGTACCAATGTTCATCATAAATGTTGCATTTATTATCATTCATATATAATGAAGCAGATTTCAAATAACTATTTTATAATTAGAGCCTCCCGTCCTGACCCACGATCATTTAAATTCACAATTCTAGAAGATTGATCTATGCTCAGCATAACTATGAATGTTAGTTATTTTGATACCAGGAACAGATGAGAAGAATACCTGTTCCTTGATATAATTAATATTATCCCGCCTTGACACCAGAACTCCTTTTCCTGGGGCCATGAAATTTACAATTTTCAAAGAGGCACCCTTCTTGTATGTACATAGTTTATTTAAAACCAAGGAACAGAGAACAACATTTTCAAAAAAAAAAAACAAACAAAAAACTGCAAGTTCACTTTATTATCAATACATCCCTTACTCTTAAACCAGTACTCTTGGGTCATGAAATCCGAAATTTGAGAATAAGCATCCTTCCTTATCATAACTATGTACTTAATTAATCACCTTATTTTCGAGGAAGAGAGGGGAAAATTTTTTTGAAGATTAATGCATTCTCACTACATAATCAATAAGAGTGTAAGCCCCGCCTTCAACCCGAATATGTTATATAATGTTTCCTTGCTTTTGCAAAGGCGAGGGTCAATAGGCAAAGGCAGAGGTTAATCGAAAACTGATTTGTATTTTCCTAGATGAAACCTACAAGAAGAAACTACTTTCCATCGAGATATTGGTAAATAGCAACCGTGTTACTATCGTGTTGCCCAAGATAAAGGCTTCCATCTTTACTTACACACAACCCATATGGATCCTTTATTCCATCTTTATCTGTTAAGATGAGTGTCAAGAAATGTCCATGATAATTAAGAACATGGATACTCGGGTTGGCATCGTGACGATTGCAAACAATCAGGTGTCCATAAACATCATAACAAACTCCCGTTGGATAGAAACCGACCTGTGTACGATTTCCGTCATACTTAAAAAGAAGATTTCCTAATCTACTTACTCCTGTAACTATGGAGGTTCCACAGTCTGCAGTGCAAACATCTCCATTGACATTCTCGGATATAAACATTGGTAATACATATAAATTTTCGCCTTCGTATGACTCAATTTCAATAATTACCATTCCTTCTTTGCTGTATCTCGTCAGTTTTGAGTGAATGGAAATGCCCAACATATTATAAGTCCCAAGTATAATTTCATCTCTAACTTTTGAGTAGTAAATACTGAGAACCTTCTGAGGGGGATCTAGAAATATAGTTTCTGGCTCCTTAAATTGTACTTTGTACACTTTGTTGTCCCTTATAAAGAACAATTTTCCGTCGCCATCAATTGTATGAGATGCACTTCCAGAAACGTCATCCATTTTAAAATATCGTAATATACATCCATTATGATCTATTTCCATGACATGTTTTCTGTTACTTAACCAGATTGTTCTTTCGGAAATATGAGAAATATGGTTGACGCTGCTTATGTTTCTTATGCAGAGAGAAGACTTCTGCTTCGGAAATGGATGTAATTCCCTATGCAGATGCAGATTGCTGAACGCAGCCTTTTTAAGTTCTTTGATTTCTGAAATAAAGCAATTTGCTTACTTTTTAATGAATGAATTGCTACAATGACATAATATTTTAAGGTGACTTTTAAATTAAAATAATAACATTTTTTTAAAATTTTGTTTCCAAATATGTTTCTATGTTTAGCTTTCAGATTTCGATTGTGAAATGTTTGGTCAATGATTTCCACAGATTTGAAAGTAACTTTATAATAATTTTAGCTAGCTGTTGCCTTTTTTTATGGAGACAAAAATTTTGAATTTATTGTCACTAAAAATAAAAAATGGCTAATGCTTATATATAGTTATTTAAAGGAACTTATATTTTAAAGATAAATCCAAAATAATGTTCGGTTTGATTCAGGTACGGAATTTTGTTATACAGTGAAACATACGGAGATAGAGAAAAGTATTCAAGATCAGAATCCATTTAACAGCACAAAACAGGAGCAGAGCGAGCACAGATCTCCAAAACATCGGAAGTGGGATCAGATGCCATGAAGGAGTAAGCATCCCCTGCCGACCGGTCACACCCGCCGTGTGCTGCTTGTCATGATCGGGAAATAACAGATTGTTATTAAATTATAAAAAAACAACAACAAATTACTACATATATTATGAGAACACATGCAAATATTATGACTTGACTTAAGCTAAAATTTTGCATATTCAATTTACATGACACAAATTAAAATTAAAAAAAACGCTTGCAGGAAATATATATTTGTCATCAAAACTTCGTTACAATCTTGATAACTGTTTCAAATAGATACTTGAAATAGGTAATGTTAAAATAATATTTATCCTAATTCTTTAAGGAGGTATTCTTTTCATATTTCTTGGATTTAAAAATTAATGAAACATGTATTTAAGAAGAAACTAAATATAAAGTGACTGTATCAATCTAATTAATTTGATCTTGTTAGACGAAAAGATCAGGTTACATTCATCGTCTTTTCCCTTGATAATGAAAATCAAAAACAATACTCTAAACATTCATGCGAAGTCTATTGCTATTTTTAGGGATTATATATTGTTTCATTTCTTTGTTTCTTTATAGGGTCAATTAGTTTATGCTACCAAAGGAACATTAATAAATTAGCTACATGTAAAATATATGTCGAATAGTCCTATTTTTCAGATTTTTCTCTATTTGTCCTGAATTTTGAAGATGCTTGACACATTTGTTTTATTTTTTTTATTACATTTTGATTTTTAATATATAATTTCTGAAACCCTAATAATACCAATACACAGATGGTTTTTACATGAAAACTTAATTAAGTAATAATGTAATGTAATATTTGACAATGAAATGGATTTTTTTCTGACTTAACACTGCTTATAAAGTGAGGTATGGAATTTTTTTAAGTAAAGTGTTTTGAGCATTTTTTAGACCACAGCTGTTTCATATATACGGTGTGTATAAGTGTACTATACGTATAACTATTGGCTTAACTACTCCAACTTAAAAATTGATTTCCTTTTCAATGTAGACCTTGTTGTTAAATTCGAATAAAATATTGAAATGATTACATTTCAGTTATTATTTTTTTTTAAATAAATGACAGTTTACTCAAATAAGTTTAATGTAATCAATAACTGTTCTCCTTGAATGTGAAATATTGTAAAGCAATGTATTATAATGGTATATTAGTGTCATGTCATAGGAGAGGCAAAAATTGACCAAACAAAATCTAAAAATTGTAATTCTGGTCACGCAGTGCTTCACTATGCCTCTTTTTTCACCAAAAGTGTTAGAGGGGGGGGGGGCATAAGAACACTACTTGAAAATGAAAATTAGGGTCGAAATGGCCGTTTTTGCCATCCCCCAAACACAGCAGTCAGAAGGCAAGAATTTTCATATATACTGAAAGGAAAAAGAAACGCAGGGTAGCATAATTTTCGATAAAAATTTGACCACATGACCGAAAATTACGAAAATTGGTCAGAAGGAAAATTGAGTTGCTGTGCATCAACATCAGTATTCAGAACTACTCAACCATAAAATTTATGACGTCACGTAGGGAAAACGCTAAAAAGCACAAAACACGTGCAATTTGATTACGACGAGTTTTTCAACAAATCATGTTGCATTGTTTGATGCATATGAGGTATGCACAATGTTTTTTAATATTAAGAGACATTATGAATTTATTGCCATCTTGGCACAGTTTACGAAAGTTCAATGGGGTCTTGTTTTCGAATTGCCTTATTAATGAAAAAGGCAACAACGGTTTACTATGCAGTATCTTATAAATTTCCCCCATTAAACGTTTAAGCCGTTGTCAGAGAGGGTCTGGATTGGTTTTCAATCAACCGTGACGATAATGGTAGCGAAATAGAGTAATGTTATTAGCGGGTTATTCGTCCTGCCATCTCTTAAATCGCCACCTTACTACCACAAAAACAGACATTTATAGGGTAGATGATTTTAATCATTACATTCATGCGAAATTTGAAAGAGAAAAAATTCTGCAATTTGGTTTTTTAGCCAGTCAACTTACGGTTGTATTCCTCTCACTGGTGCATGCGCGCGTCGCTTGACTTATTTTTTGCGTGGTTACCCATGCTAAATATAGCCAGGATTTGAAAATTAAACACTCTGATGAAATTCGAAGCAAAGGAGAAAAAAGGCCCTGACAAATGCACGAGATAGAAATTGAAGATAATGAGCTCGAGAGTTTTCGATTTTCACTTTTGGGGGGTATCGTTATTTGAGCTTCAATAACTTATGAATAATTAGACAAAATCTTATGAGAATTTGGTTATTTCTTTTTGATTGATTCTATACTGTTTAACGTCCCTCTCCAGAATATTTCACTGATATGGAGATGTCACCATTGCCGGTGAAGGGCTGCAAATTTTGGCCTATACTCGGCACTCAGGGCCATTGAGCAGGGAGGGATCTTTATTGTGCAACACCTGCTGTGACACGGGGCCTCGGTTTATACGGTTTCATCCCAAAGACCACCCCATTTAGTCACCTTTTACGACAAGCAAGGGGGTACTGAGGACCTATTCTAACCCGGATCCTCACGGGATTATATCTTTTTGAAAGATGGATTTAAAAGGTAGATAAAAAACCAATAAATATTTTAAGAAAACTAAATTTAATTCACCTCAAAAGTTTACCCTGCGTTTATTTATCCTTTCAGTATATAGGAAAATAAATTCTCATGTTTTGTAAATTGGATGTCATTGGATTCAAATGACATTCCTTTCGAATTTGAATGGCCTCCTACTGTGCCTAAAATGGATTGAGTGATTGTCAGATTAGATTCCTGGGTTAATGGAAATCAGATGCATTAAATGTTACATAAGACATGTGACATCTTGTTGATATATGTTTGAGTTGAAATGGAACCTCGAAGCAAAATTTGTTTTGTTATTCTTTTTGGATCTTGACTTTGAAGTGATTTTCAGGAATATTAACCGATTGGGGCATATTATGTTTATTCCTCATCCAGATCAATAGTGCTCAAGTCATCTGTTATTAATTTTATTATGTTTGTATTCTAGTCTCTAATTATAATTGGTTGAGATAAAAAAAAGGAACACAATTTATTCTGTATAATCTGGTTTGGTATGGGGTCACACTGAATCATCTGTATCGATTCAATCCCCTCGTTTCAAGTCCTCCAGATTCATGGAATTCCAGATTTCATACATGTGCCCTTGACTTCAAACTGGCCTGATTTTACTTCATGTAAACAAACATCAAGGCTGCTAGGTCTATGTATTAGTTATTACCTCCCCTCGCTTAATTCTACAGAGTCATTTGTTGATACTTACATGCATAACCCACAGAAAGCATACACTTGGAACAGTGACCCGATTTTATTGTGATGGGGGCATATGTTTATTATGTTGCATTATGAAACATATGTTTATTCCCATTTTTGTAATGTGCAGAACAGTCATGTACATTTTACTAAAACCCCTGTCACGCAGGAACTGCGCCCTCACGGCGATCGCACGGCGTTCGTAAGAAATGCAAAACGCCGAGGTGATCAAAGTAGGGTCTCCTACGGCGCCGTCACAACGCAGAGAGATCTCCACTGAATGCGGTAGGATCGCGAAGGGTCTCGCAGAATGCTAGGGGACGGCGATCACTTTGGGCATGCACAAAGTACGCTCCGTGTGATCGCAGTCTGAAAAAAGCGCAGTAGAAACGTAGTGTGATAGCCGTAGCATCGCGGTGAGATCTCCAACAACGCAGTAAGAGCTCCGCACGAACGCCGTCAGGACGCACATGATCGCAGCACGAACGATAATAGACTGCGCTTCCACGGTGACCTCGCAGAGACGTCACGGAGTCCATGGAGGTGTCACTTCGTTTCTATCGCGCTTTTACGGCGCTTGTAGTACGATCAATTGTCTTGTTTTATTTTTTGCTGCGGTAACACAGCGACTACACGGAATTGTCACTGCGATCGTTGCGATCCGGTGGCGTTTTTTACAACATCCGTTTGCGATCATAATGTACTTTCACGGCGTTGTTAGAGCGTTGTCAGAACAAGAGCAATGTACTCATATTTGATCAGCAATACCATAACAAAATTACTATAGTAAACTATAGTTAACTATAGTAAATCAAAGTTCCAAAGTTTTCACTATAGTTAATCAAAGTTCCAAAGTTTTCCAAAGTAAATCAAAGTTCCAAAGTTTTCACTATAATAGTAAATCAAAGTTCCAAAGTTTTCACTATAATAGTAAATCAAAGTTCCAAAGTTTTCACTATAATAGTAAATCAAAGTTTCAAAGTTTTGACCATAGTAAATCAAAGTTCCAAAGTAATTACTATAGTAAATTAAAGTTCCAAAGTTTTGACCACAGTAAATCAAAGTTCCAAAGTTAATACTATAGTAAATCAAAGTTCCAAAGTTTTCCAAAGTAAATCAAAGTTCCAAAGTTTTCACTATAATAGTAAATCAAAGTTCCAAAGTTTTACTATAATAGTAAATCAAAGTTTCAAAGTTTTGACCAAAGTAAATCATAGTTCCAAAGTTATTAC